CCAGCCCCCCCACCCACCCCCTTCCAAACGGATTCTGGACCCCAAGGCAGGGGGGATAGGGGGAGGGAGGGGGACCGCCAAGTGTCTCGCACGCTTTTCACTCTGCGCAAGCGGGGGTCGGCGGACAAAAGGTGACCACAGAGCGCCGGCCCGGCGAAAGCTTGCCGTAATGGCACAGCAGAGGTTATGTGGGAACCTCTGCGGGTATCGATTCGCTGACACGAGCGAAGCGAATTTTCGATCCACCTCGGCGAGGGACGGGGTTATCCCACCCGAGCTGCTGACCCCGTCCGCGGGGGGGTGGGGTTGGCGACGCCGGTGCTGGAAAAATGTGCGTCCCGCACGGCCGGCGTCACGTCCACGGAAAGCCGTGTCCTCACGGCCTCTTTGTCCTCGTCCGCTCTCTTCGTGCACCCCCTTCGCAAGGGACACGAACCAGTATGACATGCACCGCTTCCTTTCTCTTGGCATCGCTCGGACGTGTGCATTACTCTTTCTCGGCGAGGGCCTTCGAGGAGCATCCTCGACCACCTGGCAAAAAGAGCACGCGCGAGACCGAACAGCGCACGGGGAACGGATGTCTGAGCGACGGCAAGTTTTGGGCTGAGTTTTCGTCCAGAGTCTCGAATATTCTTAACGTTTCAATGTAAATCCCAAGTTTTTGATAGAAATGTTGGGTTTTTATATACTTTCTGAGACTATGAATTTCTTAATCTTAACCCATGATTTCTAAAGCATTTCGCAGGGTGTATACTGGGTTTTGCGTCGCCTATCGGCCGCCGCAGTGCCGCCGCAGCGTATGCCGAAGACTCGCCCTCGGACCGCATTGGAGCGCGAGCGCCGCCCAGCGCCGCGCCAGCCCAGGGTTTCGCCCAGGGTCGCGCCTGTGCCTCTACAGGAGGAATATCCAAAAGTAGTCAAAACAATAGTCAGGGGGCGATTTGTGTTGCTTTTTGTTGGCTATCTGGGTGTATTTTTTTGTTGACCTTTTCCTTTTCCGTCGAAAGTCGGCCTGTACGTAGGGGGACACGCCCGACCGAACGCTTTGCCCCAGGGTCGGGGGCGGGGGCCTGCGCGAGCGCGCTCGCCCAGCCTTGGTGGCGACTCGCGAGGGGGCCCGCATCGGGCGGGGCCGACGGCCGACGGCACGCAAGAGAGTGGCCTCCTCCTCCCCCTCATCCTCCTCCCTCCTCCTCCTCCTTTTCCTCCTCCTCCTCCTTTTCCTCCTCCTCCTCCTCCTCCTCCTCCTCCTCCTCCTCCTCCTCCTCCTCCTCCTCCTCATCCTGCTCTCGCCGGAGTGACCATGTGGGTGCGGGCCCATAGCAGGCCCCCCCGACCGCCGAGTGCGGCGCGATGGCAGCGGCCTGCGCGCCTGTTTCTGGGCGGCCCCCGCGCCTCCCAAAAGCCGCGCACCAGAGGTCACTCTTGCCCAGCCAGGGTCACTTTTGCGTGCAGTCGAGATTGGACCGACTGCCACCCAGGGAAGCTTATACGAAGGTTGTGTGTGTGTGTGAGTGGCTGTTGCGTTTTCCGAGGGCACAGACTTTTTCTGGCCCCCACGGGGTCTCGGGTGGTTCTTCGACCCCTGTGGCGTCTCAAGGGTATAAACTTTTTGGGATCCCTTCGTGGTCGTCGACTGGGCCCCATAGGGAGCTCCACCGATGGCCCCAGCGGCAGCGCCCGCATGCGGTTCCACCTTCTATTTCCGCGAACCTCTCACACGCGTCGTGGCCCCATAGGGAGCTCCACCTGATGCCTCAGTTGCATCGCCCGCACGGCCGTCCCGCCACATTGCGGCACACCCGTCACGCGCTCCTTGGCCCCATAAAGATCTACCGACGACAATACTCACAACGACGGAATCCACAGCTGCATGTGGTTGGGCCTTTCGCCAGGCTGATTCGATTTCGTGTTTCCTTTATCATCCGTTGCCCTCCGCACTCCACCGCTCTCCCGTTTCTCCCTCGCGCACTTCTGATCCCCGCCCTCCATCCCTTACCTGGAATCCCCCCGTGGGGGGCGCGAAGCTCTTGGTGGGGGCGGTCTTCCAGCGACCAACATCCCGCCAGCTATGCATATCGTGCTTAGGCCCCGTCTGAGTGGCCTATGCTCGTCCGGCCACGCATCATATGGTTTGGTTGTCGTGCGTAGTGCAGTTCGCGGCGATCGGGTCTGGTTAGTTTGACGTGGTTTGCTGTGGTCGTGCTGGCCCCTGTGTCATGTGATTTGTCGTTTCATTTGGTTGAGGTGCGATAGGTCGGCAATCGAGCAAATTTCATTCATTTGATCGGGTCTTCGTTCTCTTGCCCCCCTCCGTTCTCGAATTTAGACTCGAACTATAGGTCCTCCGCCTCTTCCTATCTCCTCTTCATCCTCGGTCCCTCCTTCTGCCATTAGTATGTATGTGTTCCGCGCATGTGCCCCCGTCAGGCGATAAGCCTGCAAACACACGGTTTTGTGATCTTCTGGTATGAAATGGTGTTGCTTTTCCCGCTTTGGCGCGTTGTTTTCTTGAGTGGACATGTAGTTTTGGTTTAGTCGGCTCGCGTGGCCTGGTCTTGTCTGGCCCGGTCTGGAGTCTTCGAGCATGACGCGGCGTTAGTCCCCGTTTAGGGGGCTTTGCGAGATTCAGGACCGAATCCACTTGCGAGGGCCCCCCGTGGCCCACAAACGGGCGCGAAGCACGCCTGTCGCGATTTTCAGAGCGTGTTCCCCACACTTGGTTCCTCCTCTTGCGTGCCGCCGCAGAAGTCTCGTCCGGCGCTGACTAGGATCCAACCATATACAGTTGTGATTATGTGAATACCGCAGCTGTGAGTAACCTCTTTGGTGGAGCTCCAAATGGGGCCACGAAACGTGTGAGGGGGGGGGCCGAATCGGGTGCGGGGCCGCCATGCGAACCCTGCCGCTGGGGCCTTCGGTGGAGCTCCCTCTGGGGCCACCGAACGTGAGAGGGGCGTGCCGAATTGGGTGCGGGGCAGCCACGCGGACCTTGCCGCTGTCGCCTTTGATGGAGCTCCTGATGGGGCCACGAAGAGTGTGAGCGGGGTGCCGAATCGGGTGCGGGGCCGCCATGCGAACCCTGCCGCTGGGGCCTTCGGTGGAGCTCCCTCTGGGGCCAGGAAAGGTGTGATGGGTACGCCGAATCGGGTGCGGGGCCCTCATGCGGACCCTGCGGCTGGGCCCTTCGGTGGAGCTCTGGTCCATGAAACGTGTGAGGGGGGGGCCGAATCGGGTGCGAGGCCGCAATGCGGACCCTGCCGCTGGGGCCTTCGGAAGACCTCTCTCTGGGGCCACGCAACGTGTGAGCGGCGTGCCGAATCGGGTGCGAGGCCGCAATGCGGACCCTGCCGCTGGGGCCTTCGGTAGAGCTTTCTCTGGGGCCTCGAAGCGTGAGAGGGTTGTGCCGAATCGGGCGCGGGGCCGCCATGCGAACCCTGCCGCTGGGGCCTTCGGTGGAGCTCCCTCTGGGGCCACGAAGCGTGTGACCGTTGTGCCGAATCGGATGCGGGGCCGCCATGCGAACCCTGCCGCTGGAGCCTTCGGTGGAGCTCCCTCTGGGGCCACGAAACGTGTGAGGGGGGGGCTGAATCGGGTGCGGGGCCGCCATGCGAACCCTGCCGCTGGGGCCTTCGGTGGAGCTCCCTCTGGGGCCACGAAACGTGTGAGGAGGGTACCGAATCGGGTGCGTGGCAGCCTTGCGGACCCTGCCGCTGAGGCCTTCGGTGGAGCTCCCTCGGGGGCCACGAAGCGTGTGTGACCGTTGCGAATCGGGTGCTGGGCCGTCATCCGAACCCTGCCGCTGGGGCCTTCGGTGGAGCTCCCTCTGGGGCCACGAAGCGTGTGAGGGGTGCGCTGAAATTGGAGTGGAATTGCCTGCGGACCCTGCCACTGGGGCCTTCGGTGGACACTCTATGGGGCCACGAAACGTGTAACGGGTGCGCCGGATTGGGGGTGGAACTGCATGCGGACCTTGCCACTGGAGCTTTGGGTGGAGCGCCCTATGGGGTCACGAAACGTGTGAGGGGTGCGGTACATTTGGGGTGGAACTGCATGCGGACCTTGCCATTGGGGCTTTCTGTGGAGCACCCTATAGGGCCACGAAACGTGTGACGGGTGCGCCGGATTGGGGGTGGAACTGCATGCGGACCTTGCCACCTGGGCCTTCGGTGAAGCACTTTATGGGGCCACGGAACGTGTGAGGTGTGCGCCGAAATATTGGTGGAATTGCATGTGCCCATCTGACGACGATGCGGACACGCGGAGGGCAGAGGCAAGGGATGGGATGAGGGAGGAGGGGTATGAGGAGAGGAGCGGGAACGCGGGGCGCTGCCTCTTCAGAAGGAGTACCCAGGATAGTTGGGAAAAATAGGTTCTTACAGTCATCGTGTTGCCACAGGGAAAGCTGAATGAGGCACGAAGGGGCTTCTCTAGCCAGGGCGCGCCTCGGCCACGACCAGGTTCCCCAACAGTAGCTCCGATTTCAGCGTATTGCCTGCAGTGCGCCAGTTCGAGGAGGCTTCGAACGTCTAGGTCCCTGGCAAGGGCGCGACAATAGTTGCGCTGCGCGGTCCAGGCTGGGCAGCTGTTCTTCTCCAGAGGGGCGGCGCCGGAGCGCGGATGAGACCGCTCGTCGCACGGGCCTGGCACGAAAAACGCGAGGTAAGGCGGTGGCCGTGGCCGTCCATGATCTCCGTGGCTCGCCAGGCTCCTGAATCCGCCACCCCTGAGGCTCTCGGCCCCCTCTCCCAGGCCAGCCGTTCCCAGTCTGCCGACGGCCCCAGGGCTCCAACAGCGGCCCCCCTGACGCCATCATTGCACAAGAGGCTCGCTCAGGGCCCAGGAAAACATCGGCCCGCCAGCGGCGTGGGCCTCCACCGGTCTCTGGGGCATCCTGTCCGTGCATGGGGGGCCTCGATCCGCATCCTGGGCCTTCGCAGGCCCCCGCGGAGGCCTCGGCCCGACCTCGAGTGCCGCGGGGTCCCCCGCCGCCCCGCCAGCGCTGGTGCTGCGGCCCGCCGGGCTGCCCTCCGGCGGCCCCCGCCGCCCCGGCGCCCGCGCTGCCCGCCGGCGGCGCCCGCAGCGCCGCCCTGCCCGCGCGGCAGGACGTCCGCACGAGCCGCTGCCGCCGCCGCCGCTCTGCGCCCTGCCGTGGAGGAAGCGGAGGGCCCACGGGAGAGCGGGCCCTGCCTCGGAGCCGGGCGACGGCGGGCGGTCCGTCGATTTCGGCCTCCGGGGGGGCCCATTCCTCGCCCCCGCTCCGAGACCGTCATGCCACGGCCCAGAGCGACAGAGCGGCCCTGGGGAATTGGTCGACATCCCCGAGGGCCGACGATCACGAGCAGGCCGCCATGTCGGAGGAGAGGGCTCGGGCTCTTCGCCGTGTTTTTTTTGTTGGGGGGGGGCCTCCCTGGGCACTCCACGGGCCCCGGCATCGTCTGGAAACGGCTCAGGGCGAAGACCAGATTCCGCGTGCCTCGGTCGCCTGCCGGCGCGTCGGGCACCCACGCAGGGGTTCGCCTGGCTGCAGACGTCCTTCGCACTCGGAGCCCCAGCCGGTCTTTTTCGGACGTCTGGCCTTCCGGGGCAGCGGTTCACATGTGCTGCGGCCGCCCCACGGAGGCCCGCCAGGGACCCGATGCGCAGACGGCCTGTGTGCCCCCGCTCCCCAGTTCGCTACAACGGCGCCCCCGTTGAGCCTGCTCGCTGGCGCTGCAACCTCAGCCTCGCCGCCGACGACGGTTTCACACTTCAGCAGCCCCCAGTGAGAACGAGGTCTAATCTGAGTCACCGCATGGCTTCACTGCACTGGGCTCACCAGTAGCCTTCGAAAGTTTCGACAGTTTCGCACTTCATCATCCCTGGGGATGGCGAGGTCTAATCTGAGCCCCCGTATGGCGTCCCAGCGCTGGCTCACCAGCAGCTTCTGAAAGTAATGGCAATCTCACACTCGTAGCCCCCAGGGATGATGAAGTCTAACCTGAGTCCCCGTATGGCGTCGCTGCGATGGCCCCTCCAACAGCCGTCGAAAGTGACAGCTTCGCATTTCGCAACCTACAGAGATGGCGAGATCTAATTTGAGGGAGCTTCTCTCGAGCTCACGTCATCCTCACCCCCGGCGCGCGAGGAAGTCAGGCCCCACCTGCCCCCAACGACCATTTCCAGGGCGCGCGCCGAGGCGCCCCGGGCGTGTCCCAGCAGGGCTCTCGCTCGAGACACCCTCGCAAAGTCGACCCCCGGCGCGCGAGGAGGTCAGGCCGCACCGCGCCCCCAGGGACCATTTCCGGGGCGCGCGCCGGGCGTGTCCCAGCAGGGCTCTCTCGAGAGAGAGATCTTCGCAACGTCGACCCCTGGCGAGCTGAGTCGCCCCAGGCCCGACGCGGGGAGGAGGAGGAGGAGGAGGAGGAGGAGGAGGAGGAGGAGGAGGAGGAAGAGGAGGAGGAGGATGACGAGGAGGATGACGAGGAGGATGACGAGGAGGATGACGAGGACGAGGACGAGGACGAGGACGAGGAAGAGGGGAAGGAGAAGGAGAAGGAGGAGGAGAAGGAGAGGACGAGGACGAGGAGGAGAAGGAGATAGAGAAAGAGAAGGAGGAGGAGGAGGAGGACAAGGAGAAGGAGAAGGAGGAGGAGGAAAAGAAGGAGCAGGAGAAGGAGAAGGAGCAGGAGCAAGAGCAGGAGGAGGAGGAGGAGGAGGAGAAGGAGAAGGAAGATGGAGTTCATCAGAGCTGTTGCGCATTGTCTCCCACGCGCTGGGGTGGTCGCGCGTGCAATTAAGGCACATCGTTCGCATCTGGCAGGTTCCTGGCTCTCGCTCGAGGCATCCTCGCAAGGCGCGCGAGGAGGTCAGGCCCCTCGCCTTCCTGCTCCACGCTCGCCTGATCCTCACCCGCGCGACCCTCACTCTCCTGATCCTCCCCATCGCGAGCCTCGCCCTCCTGATCCTCACGCTCATTCTCCTCTCGATCATTCTCCTCTCGCCCAGAAGCGCACGCCCCTTTATACAGAAACTCCCGATCAACCGCAGACCTGCCGGCTAGGATGAGTCCCCGTATGGTGTCGCTGCGCTGAGCCCACCAACAGTTTCCGAAGGAGGCGACGGTTCCACAGTTCGGAGGCCCAAGAAATGGCGAGGCCTGAGTCCCCGTATGGCGTCAGTGCGTTGGGCCCACCACTAGCCTTCGAAAGTAGCAACGGCGTTGATGGTCGCAGCCCCCAGGAATGTTCGAGTCTAATCTGAGTCCCCGTATGGCCCCCGTACACAGGGCTGGTGATCTCGGTGCCACTCCGGGGCGTGTGCGGGGTGTTTCCGATCGACATGTGCGCTCGTTGTGCGCGTACGTATGAGCGCGGCATGTGCCCCGCAGGTGTTGATGTTTTAGATATCGGAGCGGTATGATTTGGTGGCGTGTGCACATGTGCGGCCATGTGCGGGGGCATGGGATCTGAGTTGTTCCATTGTTCTGGTTCGGCCCCCACCCTTGAGCGGTGTCTGCGACTGCACGCGCATGTGCGTGGCGTGCGCTGGAACCCTTTTTTGCGCAGTATATACATATTTCCTCGTCGGACGTCTTCCCCGTCGTCTAATCAAGCCCACAACAGGCCACTCCTTCCTTGTCCCTGCCGCTCTCACCAACCACCCCCACCTCCATTTTCAGGTCGGGGTTCGTGGCAATATCAGGTTTGCGCAGCATGCATGAGCAGGGCTGCATACGTGGGGCGATACAGTAGCTGCCCACACCGCAGCTGCTCGCCCCGGCGCTGCCTGCACATGGCGCCGCACATGCCCGCACCGTGGCACCGTCCGTGGCGGCGCGGCCGCACAGAGAGACGCGCGCGGCCGCACGTGCCCGCACAGCAGGCCGCACGGCAGGCCGCGCGTGCGCCCCCTGCTCCCGCCCCGCACCTCCGCACGTGGCCGCACACCCCGCAGCGGACGACCGCACATGCTCGCACAGGGCGCCGCTCGTGGCCGCGATGGGGTGCACGGCCACGCGCGGCCGCACGTGCTTGCACACCGCCGCAAGGGGGGAGAATGAGGGGGAGGACGAGGAGGAGGACGAGGACGAGGAGGAGGACGAGGACGGTGAGGATAAGGAGGATAAAGAGGGGGAGGGGGAGGGGGAGGGCGGCGTCCGACCGATTCTTGTGCCTTCAGCTCGTCAGGAGGCGGAGGAGGAGAAAGAGGATGCTTGCTCGTTTCAGGAGGTGGCGCTTCCTACCCGCTGGGCGATTTCAGCCGCCTGGCGGAGACCCTACAAATTCTTACCTTGTCTCCCAGGGCCCCCGCCCCTCCCAGCCTGTCCGTGGTTCCCAGTCCTTGGCCCCTCCTGCTCCAATCAAGAACGCACGCCCGGGCGAAGCCAGCTGTGCAAATATTGTGTTGGCACGTGCCAGGCGTGCGTTTGGCATTTGCGGAAGCGGGATTCTCGAGCGGCGCCCGCGGGCCCCCACTGGCCCGCCAGTGATTCGCTCTCTCGCTCGTGGCATTCGTCTTGGAGGGGTCGTCTGGGTTGCCTGGGACGGCGTTCCTGCGAGTTTTGTTTCTGCGGAAGTAGGGCACCCGCGGCCATGTGCGGGCATGGCGCGGCTTCCTCCACCAGCGACTTCGTGGGCATGGATCATGAAGATGCATAGCACGCGCTGGCACGTGCGGGGAGGCAGCGGTTCCAACGCTGCCACGGACTGAGGCGCACAGATGGGCGCGCGCGCGCGCAGTGTGCGGCATGTGCGCAGAGAAACGCAGAAAAAATGAGCAGCAAAATCATGAACTCATGAACCTGAGAATGGGCATTATAATAATGGTGGCGACAGTTTCGCAGTTCGCAACCCCCCAGGAATGGCGAGGTCTTATCTGAGTCCCAATATAACGTCGCTGCGCTGGGCCCACCAGCAGCCCTCGGAAGTTGCGACGGTCTCACATTTCGCAACTCCCCCGGGATGGCGAAGCAGGAGGCACAAAACATGGGCAGGTGATAAGTAGAAAGTAAGAGGCAGCAGAAGAGAGGAGTAGGACAGGAGATAGGCGAGTGGAGGAGGAAGGCGGGAGTTGGAGAAGTGGAGCCCGATATGCTTCGTTCAATGCACAAAAAACCCAAACGGATGGCTGGGGAAAAATACATTGCGACGTACCCAACCCGCCTACACTAACTGGCAAGAGGAGCTGATCCAGAATAGTTCGGCGGATGACAACACAGGATCTGTCATTGGAAACTGTATGGGAAGTGCGCGCGTCGCGCGATTCACCAGACAGCACGGAAACGACGAGGACCGAGGCCCCAGGCTCGAACAGGAAATGGGGTGGGAGCGAGGAACGGGAAAAGGACGGAAGCGGGGCCGGAAAGTTAACGCGACAGCAGTACTGAGACGGCGAAGCAGGAAGAGGACGACAACAGAAGAAGCACGACGAGGAAACAGGGCGGCCGCCGTGTTCCGTTGGCACGTTGGACAAGCAGCGCGGCCCGCGCCATATCGCCCTGGCGTTCCAGAGGATCGGCTGCCCGTAGCTAGTGCAGGAAACGAGCAAGGCCGACCTCGCCCAGACAAGTTTTCTGTCAGACGTTCTCAGCACAGCTGTCGTACGGTCCCCATACGGCACAGCGTCAAACGGACAAGACGGGAACCAGTATTATGCGCCCTATAGGCATCCTCTTCTTTGCTTTTCTCTTCCTCGCAAGTCGCGCCCACCTGTCCTCCAAGGTATGGGTTCGTGGCAATATCAGGTTTTTGCATCGCGCGGCGCGGGAGCCAAACGCCCGCAGGCGCGCCGCCAGGTCTTCGGGGCCCGCGAGGCGTCACTCCGCTGGACCCCCCAAAACAGCCGTCGAGAGTGGCGACGGCTGCGCAGATCGCAGCGCCCCCAGGGATGGCGAGGTCGAATTTGGGTCCGCATGGGACGTCACTCTGCTGATCTCTGCTGGACCCACAACAACCCTCGAAACTGGCGACTGTTTTGCAGGTCGCAGCCCCCCTGGGATGGCGAGGTCTAATTTGGGTCCGCGTGGGACGTCGCTCCGTTGTACCCCCCAGCAGCCATCGAAAGTGGCGACAGTTTTGCGGATCGTAGCCCCCTAGGGGCGGCGAGGCCGAATTTTTGTCCGCGAGGGACGGCACTCGATTGGACCCCCCAGCAGCTTTCGAGAGTAGCGACACCTTCGCATATTGCAACCCCCATGAATGGCGAGGTCTAATTTGGGTCAGCTTGGGCGGCACTCCGCAGATCGCAGCCCCCGAGGGATGGCGAGGTCTTGTTGAAGTCCGCGTGGGATGGCACTGGTTTGGACCCCCAGCAACCTCGACTGTGGCGACACTTCAGATCGCAGCCACCCAGGGATGGCGAGGTTTGACTTAGGTCCGCGTAAAACGTCACTCCGCTGGACCCCCAAAACAGCCTTCGAAAATGGCGACAGTTTCTCAGATCGAAGCCCTTCCAGGGATGACGAGGTCGAATTCGGGTCCGATCTTCGATCCTCGTCGTCACCGTCGTCGTCCTTCCCACGGCGGCGGCGACGGCGACGGCGACGGCGACGGCGACGACGACGACGACGACGACTGCGACGAGCAAGGGCCCCCCCCGCAGGACGCCGGCGGCAGCTGCGGCGCCAGCTGCGTGTTCGAGGGGCGCAGCGCCAGCTGCCAGGAGCCGCCGCGGGGCCGCCCTCCGCCGGGCCCCGCGGAGAGGAGGAGGGGGAGGAGGAGGAGGAGGAGGAGGAGGAGGAGGAGGAGGAGGAGGAGGAGGAGGAGGAGGAGGAGGAGGAGGGGAGGAAGAGGAGGAGGAGGAGGAGGGAGGGGGGGGGGAGGAGGATGAGGGGGAGGAAGGAGGAGGAGGAGGATGGGGAGGGGGAGGAGGAGGGGGAGGAGGGGGGAGGAGGAGGAGGAGGGAGGAGGAGGAGGAGGAGGAGAGGCGGAAGGAGGAGAGGAGGAGGAGGAGGAGGAGGGGGAGGAGGAGGAGGAGGAGGAGGAATGAGATGAGGAGGAGGGGGAGGAGGAGTAGGGGGAGGAGGAGGAGGAGGAGGAGGGAGGAGGAGGGGGAGGAGGAGAGGAGGAGGGGGAGGAGGAGGAGGAGGAGGAGAGGAGGAGGAAGGAGGAGAGGAGGAGGAGGAGGAAGGAGGAGGAGGAGGGTGAGGAGGGGAGGAGGGCCCGGGCCTCCGAGGCCTGTCGGGACACCCTCGAGGAGCGAAGGTTTTCGCGTTATGGCCTGCCGTTCGCCGCGGCTGAACTGCCTTCGGAATTCTGGCCAGGACGCTCCTCCTCTCTCCTCCTCCTCATCATCATCATCATCATCATCATCATCATCATCATCATCATCATCATCATCATCATCATCATCATCATCATCATCATCATCATCATCATCATCATCATCATCATCATCATCATCATCGTGCTCCTCCTGCTCCTCCTCCTCCTCCTCCTCCTCCTCCCCCTCCTCCTCCCCCTCCTCCTCCTCCTCCTCCTCCTCCTCGTCCTCCTCCTCCTCCTCCTTGGGGGTCCATTCTTCGGGTGGGGCACAGGACCAGGACAAATCGCTCCAGAGTGTTCCTCAACGCTGCGGGGCGTTCCAGAGCGCTCTGGAACGGCTGCGGCGCCCGAAGCATCCTCGGACTGGATCTCAGAGGATTCCTGGCGAAGCCCGGTCCGATTTTCTCCCGCTCTTGGTTTCGTCCTGGCCGTCCCAGACATCCAGGCATCTCGAAAGGGTATGGCGAGCGTCTCTTCGCGGTTTCGGGCTGCCCGAGGCGGCCGCAGCGCCAGCTGCGTGCTCGAGGGGCGCGTCCCCAGCTGCCGGGGTGCACTCGCGCCGTCGCCGCAGCCGTCGGGGGACTCGAGGCGGAGCCAGACCTCCAGCACCTCCGAGGGCGAAGGGGTTTCTGGATGCCTGGGGGGCCCCTCCCGGGGAGCTCTCGTCGCCACGGCCAGAGTGCGCCGCTGGACAGGCATCGGGGGGGAGGCGGTGTTGACTGGGGGCTGGGGGGAGACAGACCTCCTTCGCTTCTGAAACAGTCGGACTGCAGGCCTGGGGAGGGGGGGTGCAGAGGGAGTGCGGGAGGGGGGGGGTGGGGCCTTGGGGGCCTGGGGGTGTCTGGGGGGGGGGGACCCCCCAGCGTGCGGCCCTGGCCGCGGGCGGAACGCTGGCAGAAGACGGCCGCTCTCGGCCGGAGTCGGCCCCATTTCGGCAGACGCGTCTCCGGGCGGCACGGACGGCCCCAAAATGGTCCGCAAGATGGACCCCGAGGGCGAGGAATCGCCGACAGATCGGCCCAGGACGCCCAAGACAGCCTCGAGATGGCCCAGGAGGCCCTCCGCAGTCGTGTCGGGCTCAAGCTGACACCGTGGCACGGGCTTCCGTGCTTAACTTCTGGACGCCCAAGATGGGCACGGAAAGAATGGGCAGCAGTTCCTGTTCATCTTGAACAGGACTCGTTGTCTGCGCCGCCGCGGCCTGTGTCCATTTGAGACAGAAGGCCGCCTGCCCAACAGCGGCCGCTGTTGGTTTGGGACAACATGTGTTGTTCGGCATTGTACCCATTGTTTCGGTACCCATTTCGGGTGTCCACATAACTACTAGCTACCTCTCTCCACACACACACACACCATCTCCGCACCTTCGATATGACCCGCATCTCTGGGTGCCTGGTCTCGGCCGCCCTCGGCGGCATGCTGCCCCCCGCGGCACGGGCCGTGCAGCTCGCGGGCGCCGGCGCGCCCGCGGTGCCCGCCGCCTCCAGTGAGGGCGAGGCCGGCTCGTGGCTGCTCGAGGTCCGCACGCACGGGGACGTGACGTGCGCCGCGGAGGGCGACTGCGTTGTCGGGTCTGGGTTGGGCCACTGCAAGGTTCGGGACGGAGGAAAGGGGGGGATTTTGGGAAAGGGGGGGGTCACGAGATTTGCGGCATGCAGCTGAGTTCGGCCTCACCGAGGGGCCCATGCCTCGATACATGGCCGCCTCTGGCGCCGGTAGGCGCCGGGAAAATCAGCTACGTGAGCTGATTCTCAAAGCCCCCCTTTGCTATCCCCCCCTTTCGCCCGACCCGAAAGGTGGTCGTGGACCCATCTCAAAGGATTCCGCTGGGCAGCACCGACTCGGGGAATGCTTCGTTCCACGAGTTCAACAGCACCGTGCAGTACCACGAGTCGGAGATCACCATCACCGGGCATTCAACGTCGTCGCATTGGAACCTTTGCCGGTCGAAAGAAGATGCATCGAGAGTCGATCTGCATCAGCGGAAAAGAAGCTTGGCGGATGTCTGTTACGAGGTCGACGGCCTCCCCGGCCTCTGTTTTCTGTGGGCTTCGCCGTGCTCTGGCGGGTGTTCCACACTCCGCCCATTCAACGAGTATTCGTCGGTCTGCCCGAATTGGTTGCGCTACGCCACTCCATCGGAGTGGTCGGTTGCGTTGCCTGATATGAATGCCAACAGGAAGACTTACTACAGCAAGTGCGCTGCTGACCTGATGGATCCATGGTGGCATCACTGCGACTACGCGAACGAGTTCGCACGCGTTCCTGATGATGGCTGGAACGAGCTGGTCCTGGTCTGCGACACTACCGTTCCCGCGATGGCCACGACGGCCACTTCCGCGTCGTCGGCGACTGGCCCCGCTCCGACACCAATGCCGCTTCCGCCGCCTCCCGGCCCGGGGCTTGTCCCGTGTGGTCTTACCGGTGGTTACAGCGAGTGGCCAGAGGATGCAACATGCGCGAGTTGGATTCAAGGATCGGCCGTGGGTGGAGGCCCTAATGTCTTCGTTGGTACTGTGGACACTTGCCACCATTGCATCCTGGCGGTCTTGAATGCTTACCCATCCGCCAAGGGGGCCACATTCCGGACTCCTGGTTTGACCTCGCAGGCTGGTGAGTGCTACGCTGAGGATGGGTGGCTGTATCCAGATTCGAACCCTGCATGGATTACCATCCCCGTCATTGCATCTCTGCAGTACTACACCGATCTTGCCTCGGACCCCTGCAGCCCAGCCTACGGGCTTACCCTGAAGCCGACCCCCGCTCCGACTGCCGTTCCCCTGGCTCCCCCAACTGGGGGGGCGGGTTCTCAGGAGGGGAAAAAACACACAGACACAATTAATCGTCGATTCCCAGAAAATATGGGAAAATATGGGAAGTGGGGGGGAAGACAGAAACCCAGAAAATATGCGAAAATATAGGGAATCCTTTTATTTGTGTGTATGTATTTGTGTGTCTCAGGGCCCCTTCAGGTTCAGCAGTTGGGGATCCGCATCTGCAGAACATCTACGGTGAGCGGTTCGATTTGCTGAAGCCTGGCAAGCACGTTTTGATCAATATTCCACGGGACGCGGTTGTTGTTGAGACCGCGCTGCTTCGGGTAGACGCAGAGGTACGTCAAATGGGTGGAAAATGCGCAGACATGTATTTCCAAGAACTGAATATCACAGGGGCGTGGGTGGATTCGACGAAGCAGACCGGCGGTCTGTATTTCAAAGCGAACGATGTGGTCGATTCAAACACGGATTGGGAAAGTTTTGGAAAGGTATCGTTGAAGGTTGTCCACGGACGCACCCAGCGTGGCATACGGTACCTGAATCTGTACGTCAAGCATCTCGATCGCAACGGGCTTTCCGTCGGCGGGCTGCTGGGAGAAGATGACCACTCAGAGGCAGCGGTCTCTCCCAGGGAATGCTCTCAGACCCTTTCTCTTATCCAAGGTGACTTCTGAACGACGGGCGTCCGTCTTCCCAGCTAAAGCAGGCCTCTTGCAGGCACGGCCGTGCGCGACGGGCGGCTGCAGAGGCAAGCATCTGCTCCTCCCCCCCCCTGCCGATCTCGTTCCCAGCGTCGTCCTCCCTCCCTCGCCCTCTCCCCCCGCTGCAGGAGCCGGGCCGCCCGCGGCTCCGTGGCCTCGGCGCGCCGTCTCGCACCGCCTCGGGCATGGATTTCTCGGCACGGCGCCGCAGAGTGGCCCTCGAGGTGCCGAGCGACGCCCTACCTGCGGAGCCCCCTGGGCCCCACAGATTTTCGAGGGGCCTTGCAGCTCGACAGCTCGAGGCAGGAGAGCAGACGAGGAGGAGGCGGCGGAGAGGCGCCGCCACTACGGCCCGACGGCTGCTCCTTGTCGTGATGGCTGCATGGGAGCTCGTCTTTGTGTTCACCGGCTGCGCCTCTCTGCTTCGAAAACAACAGGTGGTCCAAGAGGCCCCGAAGACCCCCCAAGATGCCCCCAACCCCCAACAGAAACCTCCAAGAGGGCCTGGAGAGGCGAACATGTTGCATGTCCTGTGGATTGTTCCATGCTTTTCGCGTCTCCGATTTTTACGTCCACGCTCCGAAACGACCCAAGAGGCTCCAAAGATCGGCCCAAGACGGCCTCAGAGGTACCCAAGACGGCGCCCTCCCGGCTAGAGAGGCACTCCAAACGGCCCAGGAGGCTTCCAAGATGGGCCAAGAAAGCCATACTCAAGGGGGGGCCCAGAGCGGGAGCAGGAACCGACACTTCGAATTCTTCTCCCACACAAAACTTCAGAAGCCCCATGTGGCCCCCAAGACGCCCCGACAAGTCGCCCAGAGGCCCCCAGGGAGCCCTAAGAGGTTCCCATGAGAACCCTCCCATCGCCCAAGAGGCCCCCAGGAGGCCCCAGCACGGCCCGAGACGTCCTCAGTACAGCTGCCGCGCGTGCATTGCCCCCGTGGCTCGCGTGGAAGCGTGCTCTGCTCACCTCGTGGCTCGCATGGTAGCGTACCGAGCTCACGTTGTGGCTCGCACTGTGCCGTGCTTGGCGCACCGAAACGACAAAGCTCTAACTTCGGCGGTGGCTCGCATGGCACCGTGCTGAGCTCACAGCGTGGCTCACCTCCGCGCCCACGGCCTTTCTTGTCCGACCGTACGGCTCCAGAACACGGCCATAAGAGATCAGATTCTGCATCGGTGGTTCTTTCACGGTGGGATGCAGAGAGGGTAACGAGGGGCGGAGCCCCAAAGAAGCGGCCAGAGCCCCAACGGGAGTGACTTTGCACCAGCGGACCTGCTCCCGCTCGGGCCCCGGGCGCCTTTTCAGAAAGCGCCGCCCGCAGCGCAACCTGCCTCCCAGGAACTAACTCCGCATCGGGGGCGCTTAGGCCACTTACAGCCACTCAAAAAAGTGCGCGTCCGTAGCACGAAAACACGCCCCGAGGACCTCTCCGACCACCAAGCCCACAAAGCTCCAACATTGCATAACATTGCACGTGAGCGTGCTATCCCGACCGCGTGGCTCGCAAGTGGCGTGCTGAGCTCACGCTGTGGCTCGCACTGTGCCGTGCTTGGCGCACCGAAACGACAAAGCTCTAACTTCGGCGGTGGCTCGCATGGCACCGTGCCGAGCTCACAGCGTGGCTCGCCTCCGCGCCCACGGCCTTTCTTGTCCGACCGTACGGCTCCGGAACACGGCCACAGAAGGTCGTGTCTTGCATCCGGGGGGTCCTTCAAGGTGGGATGCAGAGATACCGAGGACTCCTGCTTGTCCAACCAGCTGTGCAGCCCCTTGCGGCCTCCGAGCCCACACCGCCTCTTTGCCTTCTCCGCCGCCACCAGCTCTGTGGCCCACGGGGGCCTCCGCGCCCACGGTGTCTCTTTTCCGGCCGCATGTGGCCTCAGCGCGGCCACAAAAGATCAGATTTTGCACGGGGAGGTGCGTTCAAGGTGGGGCGCACAGGGGATGCTAGTGGGAGCTTGCCGCGAGAATCCCCCTAGACCCAAGCGGGAGCGAGTCCGCACCAGAACCGTGCGGACCTACTCCCGCCCAGGCCCCGAACGCCTCTGTAGGCAGCGCCCGCCCGAACCGCAACACTGCAAAAAGGCTGACTGCGCATCGGAGGTGGCTAGGCCACCTACGGCCACATACACACACACACACACACACACCACAATTACGCGTCCGTGGCGCGAAATGCAGCCCAGCGGCTCCTCGTCGCCCACCGAGCCGACACAACTCTGACTTTGCCCGTGGCTCGCATGGAATCGTGCTGAGCTCACAGCGCGGCTCGCATGATACCGTGCTCAGCTCACCCCATAGACGGAATCATGTTTTCCCCCACCAGCTAGGACCCCCTTTCGAGCCCCCGAGCCCACGCCGTTTCTTTCTCTTGGCCTTCGGTAGAGGATTCGTTCAAGCTGGGATGCCGAGGGGGGGCCCTGCCCAGAAAAGCCCCCCAAAACACGCCATCTCGGGAAACAGAAATGCATCGGTGGTGTGGTGGGCAACCCCGGGGCCCTCCCCCTCGGGCCACCGAGCCGAAAAAGCCGTACATGCCGGTGGCTCGCACGGAAGCGCGCGGAGCACACCTCGCTGCTCGCATCGTTGCGTGATAACCGTAAGTCGGGCATGTCCCTCTACAGGAGGAATAAAAAGTAGTTCGTGTTCAGATACAAGAGTATGGGGACGATGTTTCGATTCCTTTTGGACTATGTTTGAATGCGTTTAGGTGTATGTTTTATTGTTCGTCCAAAATCCGCCTGTAGGAGGACATGTCCGACCTAATGCGAACCTTCACCCCAATGCGGAGCGTTCTTCTTCAGCCCCTACAGGCCCCCAACAAGCCCCCAAGACTGCCCAAGAGGATCCCAGGATAGTCGCAGCACCCCGAGAAGGATGCGCAGCGTCAAGCGGACAACACGGGAACCACCCAAATGCGCTCCATAAGCATCCTCTTCTTTGTTACTCCCGTTCTCGCAGACTACGTCCTTCTGTCTTCCAAGGTCGGGGTTCGTGGCAATATTGTAGTGGCCTTCGGGGCGGCGACACTTCGCCGACAGACACGCACGCACACGTTCGCAGACATTACGCGCACACACACACACACACACACACACACACACACACACACACACACACACACACACACACACACACACACACACACACACACACACACACACACACACACACACACACACACACACACGCACGCACGCACACGCACGCACGCACACACACACACACACACACGAACACACACACACACAGACATTCATATACACGCACACGCACGCACGGCACGCACGCACGCACGCACGCACACCACACAACACACACACACACACACACACACACACGCACACACACACACACACACACGCACACACACACACACACACACGCAAACACACACACACAAGCACACACACGCACACACACACACACACACACACAGACAGACATTCATATACACACACACACACACACACACACGCACGCACGCACGCACGCACGCACGCACGCACGCACACACACACACACACACACACACACACACACCACACTCACACAAGCGCGCCAGCTTCGCAGGCACATACACACGCACGCGCCGGCAACACACACACACACATACACTCACCACGCACACCGCACAAACCAACAGACACACACACACACCACACACACAACAGACACGCAATTCACCACCACCTTCGGTGTCCCCCCCCCATTTGTTGAGCGTTTTACGTTCTAGTCCCGCTCCACTTCTCTCTCCCTTGGTCCCCGATTCCCTTCTCGCGTGCACGGACAATCATTACCCCGCGCACACGCGCGCGCACACACACACCCTCCCCTCCTTCCCCGGCAGAGCCACCCCAGCAACCCCCCCAAAGGCTAAAGCTCAGCTTCGAGGCTGTAGCTGAGGCTCACTCCCCCCCCACGCCACCGGACCCCCCTTTCCCTCCCCCGCGCCATCGGAACCCATTCCACCGGAGCCTCCCTCCCCTCTTCCCCCAATTCCCCTTGTCCACAGGCGGGACGGGGGACCAGACCCCCCCTCTCCCCTCCACGCCACCGGAACCCTCATTTTCCCTACCCTGGCAGAGCCACCCCAGCCACCGGACCCCCCCCGGCCTTCGGCCCTCCCGCCACCGTGCCTGGGTTGTGGGTTAGAGGCCTCTTGGAAGGTCGCTTGAATATCGTTGGAGGCCTCTCGGGGGCCCTTTGGAGGCAGTTTTGGAGGCCTCCTGGGCGCCGTGTGGGGGCCTCGTGGGACCTCTACTTGCAGGGCTTTTTGGGTTCCCTTGGGGGCTTCTTGGGGCCTCCAGGACAAGAGGCTTCCGGAGGGCTCCGGAGGCCTCCGTAGAGCTAAGAGGGGCCGAGGAGGATGAGGCGGAGGGAGAGGGTGGGGGGAAAAGCAGGAGGGGAGGACGCGGAGGGAGAGGGGGAGGAGGAGGAGGAGGAGGAGGAGGAGGAGGAGGAGGAGGAGGAGGAGGAGGAGGAGGAGGAGGGAGGAGGAGGAGGAGGATGGAGGAGGAGGAAGAGGAGGAGGAGGAGGAGGAGGAGCAGGGAATGAGGAGGAGTAGAAGGAGGAGGAGGATGAGGAGGATAGGAGAGGAGGAGGAGAAGAGGAGGAGGAGGAGGAAGAGAAGGAGGGACGAGGAGGAGGAGAGGGAGGAGGAGGAGGAGGAGGGAGAAGGGGAGGAGGAGGAGGAGGAGGAGGAGGAGGAGGAGGAGGAGGAAGAGGACCGCCACGCAGCGACCCCACTGCGTGCCCCAAGAAGGCGTGGAGGAGGATCCGTGCACGGCAGCGAGCAGGGGCGGGGGCGCGAGCAGAGTGCACAGGCGGAGCCCCATGGAGCAGTCCTTCTTGTCCTCGGCGGGAATACGCATAAGGCGGCGGACCCCGCAAAGGTGGGGGTTCGCGGAGGTGGGGTCGGCACCCCCCTCCTCCTCCTCCTCCTCCCTCCTCCCCCTCCTCCTCCCCCTCCCTCCTCCTCCTCCTCCTCCTCTCCTCCCTCCTCCTCCTCCTCCTCCTCCTCCTCCTTCCTCCTACTCCTCCTCCTCCCCTCCTCCTCCTCCTCCTCCTCCTCTCCTCCTCCTCCTCCTCCTCCTCCTCCTCCTCCTCCTCCTCCTCCTCCTCCTCCTCCTCCTCCCTTCCTCACAAGCTTTCCCCTTCTCCTCTAGCGTCGTGAGGCATTAATTCGATGAGTTAAAGCCTTCGGCGAGGCTCCCCGAGGGGCTACGATACGTGTGACGGGTGTGCCGAATCGGGGGTGCGGGCAGGCCATGCGAACGCAGCCATTGAGGCTCTCCGTGGAGCCCCGTTTATCGGGCCACGAGACGTGTGAGGGGTGTGCCGAGTCGGCGCGGGCACGCCATGCGACAGCAGCCATTAAGGCTTTCGGAGGAGCTCCCTGTGGGACCACGAAACGTGTGACGGGTGTGCCGAATCGGGTGCGGGTACGCCATGCGCGCGCAGCCCGTGGGGCCTTCGGAGGAGCTCATTTTGGGGCCACGAGACGTGTGAGGGGTGTGCCGAGTCGGGTGCGGGTACGCCATGGAACGCAGCCGCTAAGGTCTTCGGTGGACTTCCCCATGGGGCCGCGAAACGTGTGAGGGGTGTGCCGAATCGGGCGCGGGTACGCCATGCAAACGCACCACTAAGGTTTTCGGAGGGGCTCCGTGTGGAGCCACGAAACGTGTGAGGGGTGTGCCGAATCGGGTGCGGGTACGCCATGCCAACGCAGCCACTAAGCCTTGCGGAGGAGCTCCCTGTCGGGCCGCGAAAAAGTGTGACGGGTGTGCCGAAACGGGTGCGGGTACGCCATGCGAACGCAGCCAGTGGCGCCATCGGTGGAGCTCCTTGCGGGACCGGGAGACGTTAGACGGGTGTGCCGAATCGGGTGCGGGTACTCCATGCGAACGTAGCCACTAAGCGTTGCGGAGGAGCTCCATGTGGGGCCACGAAACGTGCGAGGGGTGTGCCGAATCGTGCGCGGGCACGCCATGCGAACGCAGCCACTAAGGCCCTACGCCACACGACGGCAGCCATTGAGGCTTTCGGAGGAGTTCCTTGCGGGGCCACGAAACGCGTGAGGGGTGTGCCGAATCGGGCGCGGGTACGCCATGCTAAGGCAGCCATGGGGCCTTCGGTGGAGTTCCCCATGGGGCCACGAGGCGACGTGTGAGGGGCGTGCCGAGTCGGGTGCGGGTACACCATGCGGGCGCAGCCAGTAGGGCCTTCGGTGGAGCCCCCATTATGGAGCCACGAGACGTGTGAGGGGTATGCCGAGTCGGGTGCGGGCACGCCATGCGAACGCAGTCTTGCCACTAAGGCCGTCGGAGGCGCTCCCTGTGGGGCCACGAGACGTGTGACGGGTGTGCCGAATCGGGTGCGGGTACGCCATGCGAGCGTAGCCATTGGGGCCTTCGGAGGAGCTCATTTGGGGGCCACGAAACGTGTGAGGGGTGTGCCGAACCGGGTGCGGGTACGCCATGCGACAGCAGTCACTAAGGCCGTCGGAGGAGTTCCCTGTGGAGGCACGAAACGTGTGAGGGGTGTGCCGAATCGGGCGCGGGTACGGCATACGAACGCAGCCACTGAGCCTTGCGGGGGAGCTCACTGCGGGGCCACGAAGCGTGTGAGAGGTGTTGCCGAATCGGGTGCGGGTACGCCATGCGAACGCAGCCAGTGAGGCCACGAGACGACGTGTGAGGGGTGTGCCGAGTCGGGCGCGGGTACTCCATGCGAATGCAGCCGCTGGGGCCTTCAGTGGAGTTCCCTATGGGGCCACGAAACGCGTGAGCGGTGTACCGTATCGGGTGCGGGCACGCCATGGAACGCAGCCGCTGGGGCCTTCGGTGGAGTTCCCGATGGGGCCACGAAACGCGTGAGCGGTGTGCCGAATCGGGTGCAGGTACGCCATGCGAATGCAGCCACTAAGCCCTGCGGAGAGGCTCCCTGTGGAGCTACGAGACGTGTGAGGGGTGTGCCGAATCGGGTGCGGGTACGCCATGGAAAGCAGCCGCTGTGGCCGTCGGTGGAGCTCCCTGTGGGGCCACCAAATGCGTGAGCGGTGTGCCGAATCGGGTGCGGGTACGCCATGCGACAGCAGTCGCTTGGGCTTTCGGTGGAGCTCCCTAATGATGGGGCCACGAGACGACGTGTGAGGGGTGTGACACAGGAGGGTTGGGAAGATGGTCGTGGTAACGGTGATGACGACGATGAACACGTGATGGTGATGATGACGCGGACGATGATGATGGCGATGAGGACATGCGGAGAGCAGAGGAAGGCATGCGAGGAGGGAGGAGGAGGAGGAGGAGGAGGAGGAGGAGGAGGAGGAGAAGGGGAGGAGGAAGCAGACGCGGGTCGCTGCCTCTTCAAAACAAGGACCCGACACCACAGGATGGTTGGGAGCAACATGAAGGCGGAAGTAAAACGGGGCCCCCTCCGCCAGCGCTAGCCGGCGGAAGCAAAAATCTGCGCCGAAGAGATGTCAATATTTTTGGATCCAGGGGTATTGGAAGCCGCCACACGTTCCAAGGGAGTTCAGGACAACGCGATAGGGGGGGCCCAGGCTCAGGGGACTTGTGTGTCGGGTGTTGCCAGAGGTGCCCCTGGTCCTGGATGGCCCCAAGTCTTCCGGAAGTTCCCCCGCAGCCCTCAGAACGCCCACCCCACGAGGCCCAGGAGGCCCCGGGGACGCCATGATGTGCGAAAATTGAGGGGCACGGCGGGCGCGGGCCAAGGGCGTTTCTTCTGTCAACATCCGAGGGTGTACCTGGGGGATGCCCACCCGAGCTGTCAGTTTTGGTGGAAGGAGCTCCACCCGCGCCAGAAGAGACAGATGGAGCCCAAAGGGATTCAAAACAGAACATTGGGAAGCTCAAGACTCGAGGAGGGGAAGGAGGAGGAGGAGGACCAGAGTAAATCCAGGATGCATCGACGATGCTGCAACTCACCCTCCCGTTCCAAGCCCTCTTCCCACAGGTCTCCACAAGCGTTCTTCTCCACGCGGGAAGCGTCCCCTGGAACGACGAGCGCCCAGTGGCCCGACGCTCACGCGAGAGACCCCGTTTCGTAAACGATCTGCCCGCAATGGTCTCTGGTTAAACGAAACGCAGAGGGTCAGGAGGGGAAAAAACACACAGACACAATAAATCGACGACTCCCAGGAAAATATTGGGAAATATGGGAATTGGGCGGGAAGACGCAAACACAGAAAATATAGGAAAATAGGGGGAATCATTTTATTTGTGTGTATTTATGTGTGTGTGTGTGTGTGTGTCCTCGGGCCCCTTGATAAACGAAACGCAGAGGGGTCGGACGAGAAAGTCGGACGAAGTGTCCGACGGCAGCCCCGGTTTTGAAGAGGATCTGCCCTCCACCCGTGCAGGTGGCGCACGGTTTCGGAGCTCCGGTCGCAAGATCTGCGAGGAGCTCGGGCTGCAGCCTCGGTTTTGAGTGGAGCCGCCCTCCACCTGCGCAGCTGCTGCACCACGAACACAGTGGAGTCGTGAAGCGCGAGGGAGTCTCAACCGAGAGCCACGTTTTGAACACGAGCCGTTCTCCATCCTGGCAGCTACAGTAGTTGTTGGCAGCGACTGCGCGCTGCACGGCGAGGGCAGGCTGCGCGAGCGCAAGCTAGGATAAGAGACGCATGTGGGAATTGTCTGGTCCTCCATCGTAGTGACTGGATGCTCTCCAGACGGCCCTCCATCCCCGTAGTTGCCGGAATTCTTTAAGACGAGTACGCGCGGCGCCAGGCGAGAGCCGCACTATGGAACTCGTCGGCCCTCCATACTTGGAAGTCGTGGAGTCTTCTGCCCCAGGATGGTAATTTGCAAGGAAGTCTCAAGCGAAACGCCTGGCCCGGCCTACGGACACATGTTGGTGGTGCGGCAGGGAGGAGTTGCTCATCTGGAAGGGGGATGGATCGGGCCCGCACAGGACCGAGATAAATCGCTCTAGAGAGTTCCAGAACAACGTTCTCAGAGTATCTCAGAGCGTTCCGGAGCGCTCTGCGGACGCCGACGCTGCCCGATGCATCCTCCAGGACTGCCGGATCTCTGAGATCCCCATTTGCCCCGGCCTCGATGGAGGAGGATGTGGCGGATGAGTAGGCCGTAGGAGGGCACGAGGAGGAGCCCTCCAGGAGCGCATCCAGTACGCCGCCGACCACGCCTTCGCCCAGGAGACCCGGCACGGCCCTGCCCGCTGCGGCCGCGGAGATTCTCGCCCCGCGCGGGGCCCCGTGTCCGTCCCGGGCCTGGGGCGCCCCTGCGCCTGGGCAGGGGGCCCTTTTGTCCTGGCCCATCACGAAGAAATAGACGGGGCATTCCAGCCCGGGGCGCGCCTTCGAGGATCGAAAGAGTTCACGTCTCCTCACATCTCCTCACCGGCAGAAGGTCGGCAGAAGTGCCATTTGCGCCCTCGTGAAGTGGCATGGAAGTTGTGGCTTAACGATTCCGTTACTTGCCACATACACACACACACATGTCTCGATATATATATATATATATATATATATATACACACAGACATGCATGCATGCATACAGACAGAGACAGAGACAGGCAGACAGACAGACAGACAGACGTATGTACGAACGTACACACATACATACATTTAGTTTAAATAGTAAGTGTATATGTATACAAACATGTCTTATTGTGAATGCCTTACGGCCGTTGCCGCCGACCCAGAAGGACCACGACCACGGCCACGACGACAACGAAGACAACGAAGACAACGACAACGACGAGCTGATGATCCTGCCACAAGCTCTGGGCGTGGGGCGGGCGGTGGAGGGAGGAGGAGGAGGAGGACGAGGAGGGGAAGGATGAGCAGGAGGAGGAGCAGGAGGAGGAGGAGGAGGAGGGGGAGGGAAGAGGCAGGGGCAAGGGAGGAGGAGGAGAAAGGGAAAGAGAAAGATGAAAATGAAGAGGAAGAGGGATAGAAAGAGAAAGAGAAACGAGAAATCATATCGGAAAGCAGAAAACAGAGAACAGAGAGCAGAGAGCAGAGAACAGAGAGCAGAGAGCAGAGAACAGAGAACAGAGAACAGAGAACAGAGAACAGGGAACAGAGGAACAGAGAAAGGAGAACAGAGACCAGAGAACAGAGAACAGAGAAAAGAGAGAACAGGGAACAGAGAACAGAGAAAGGGAAAGAGAAAGAGAAAGAGAAAGAGAGAAAACAAAACAAGAGAGAGAGAGAGAGAGAGAAAGAGGAGGAGGAGGAGGAGGAGGAGGAGGAGGAGGAGGAGGAGAGCCGTGTATCTCCTCGGGGGCGGGCGTCTGGGAGGCGCCGGGGCCCCAGGGCCCCACGGCCGGGGCTTGGGCCGGGAGGCCGCGGCCGGGGCTGGAGCTGGGGCCGGGGCTGGGGCCAAGGGGCCGGGGCCAGGGGCCAGGGTGGGCCAGGGGGCCAGGGCTGGGGCCGGGGCTGGAGGGCTAAGGCCAGGGCTGGGGCCGGAGCCGGACCTGGGCCAGAGCCGGAGCCGAGGCGGGGGAGGCCAGGGGCCGGCTGGGGTCGCTGGGCCGAGGCTGGGGCCAGGGGCCGGCTGGGGTCGCCGGTACCACTTGCCGTCGACTCCGAGTCCTCGGCGCTGGAGCTGCCGCTGCTCCAGTGATCGGCGGTGCAGCTCCTGGGCGCCCCACGGGCGCCGAGACCTCGAGCCATGCGAGCTCGGCCTGCTGCTCTCCGTGCTGGTGGGGCTCGTGCTGGTCGGCACGCTAAGCGGGGTGCGCCAGCACAGCCACAACGTCCTGCGGCGCCACACGCGGCGAGGGGCGGGCCGTTGTGCCAGAGCCGCGCCCAGATCGCCTGGAGTCGGTGCGCTCTCGCGCTGGGCTGCCGCCCTCCGGGGCGATCTGTGTTCCAGGGGCCAGAGCCAGGGCCAGGCTGGGCCAGGGGGCCAGGGCTAGGGCCAGGGCTGAGGCCGGGGCTGGAGGGCCAGGGCTGCAGGGGCCAGGGCTGGGGCCGGAGCCGGACCTGGGCCAGAGCCGGAGCCGAGGCGGGGGGAGGGGTCATGAGCTCCCTTGCCGACAGGGAGACCACCCCCTGTCCCAATTTTTTACGGGAGGGAACGCCCGGCGGGGGAGGGGAGGGAGGGCCGCTGGGCCCTGGGTGTTGGGGGAGGGGGGGGGGGCAATTTGACCTGAGACCCCCCCCTTTACCCCCCCCCTTCCCGTCAGGGAGGGGGACAGGGGAGGGAATCGACTCAACTACGACGTTTCTTGTCTTTGCTCGTTTCTAGATTTCTGTTCTCATCGTACTTGAGGACCATATCCCAGAAGTAATTTCGAGCACCCAGAAAACTATCGAGGGTCTGCCCGACGCGCTAGCGAAACGTCGAACAAGCACAGCCTCACGGGGCCAGACACGTGCAGGTCTTCCAATGTTTGTACTCTCTTGGTGCTCGAAATTAGTCCCTACCTAGGCTCTGCCTAGAAGGGTTCTTACTGTATAAGCTTAAAGGGCCGGGCAGTGGACCACGCCCCGGGCGGTTCCCCCGGCATCCGCCCCGCGGTTCCCCCAGCTTAGCTTAGCTTATTCATCTTAGCTCAGCTTAGCTTAGCTTAGCGTTGCTTATCTCATATGAGCTTAGCTTAGCATAGCATAGCGTTGCTTATATCATATTAGCTTAATTATCTAAACATAGCTTATCACATCTTAGCTTGCCTATCTCATATTAGCTTATATCATGCTTAGCTCATCTTAGTTTAGCGTTGCTTATTTCATCGTAGCTTAGCTTATTCCCTACCTAGGCTCTGCCTAGAAGGGTTCTTACTGCGTTGGCTTAAAGGGCCGGGCAGTGTTCCACGCCCCGGGCGGTTCCCCCAGAATCCGCCCCGCGGTTCCCCCGGCATCCGCCCCGCTTAGCTTAGCTTAGTTTAGCTTAGCTTAGTTTATCTCATCTTGGCTTAGCTTAGCCTAGCCTAGCTTAGCTTAGCTTCGTTTAGCTTAGCTTACCTTAGTTTAGCTTAGCTGTGCTTAGCTTAGCTTAGCTTAGCTTGTCTCAGTTTAGCTTAGCCTAGCCTAGCTTAGCTTAGCTTAGCTCATCTTAGCTTACCATCTTAGCTTAGCTTACCTTACCTTAGCTGACCTTAGCTTAGCTTAGCCCAGCTCAGCTTACCTTAGCTTAGCGTTGCTTATCTCATCTTAGTTTAGCTTAGCCTAGCTTAACTTAGCTTTGCCTAGCCTAGCTTAGCTTAGCTTTGGTTAGCTTTGCTTAGCTTAGCTTAGCTTATAGCATAGTAGCTTAGCCTACCTTAGCTCAGCTTACCTTAGCTTAGCTTAGCTTAGCTGAGCTGTCTTAGGCTAGCTTAGCTTAGCTTATAGCATCTTAGTTTAGCTTAGCTTAGCTTAGTTTAGTTATCTTAGTTTAGCTTAGCTTATTTTAGCTTAGTTTAGCTTAGCGTATGATGCTTTCCTAGGGGCTCCAACTCCCAGGTAGGGTTGCACTGGGATAAATTATGTTGGTCAAGGTAAACAAGGTCGGAACATCAGAATTTAGATGTCCTTGGGACTGGCGACTACGACGACGAAGACGACGACAGCGTCTCACACACGCCGACTGGGTCGGCTGTTATTTCTATGGATGTAGTTGTTTACATATACACATGTGTACATACATACATATATAGATGTGTGTATACAAATATAGTTGTAAACATGTATATATACACTTGTATGCTTATATTTGTGTGAATACAAGAGTTGAAGAGTGCGCTCCGCGCGCCGTCGGATTTTGGCCTCTGCTAATCATGGCGCCGGGCGCCTCGAACCGCTCGTCGCTCACGAGCGCACCGATAGACGCCTCCGTGATTGCGCGCATGCAGGCACGCGCGCTCAAAGATAGGCGTTCGGGTACGCCTGTTGCGCTGGAGGTAAGGGCAGGTGTTGGGCGGGGGTCGGGGGCGGAGCGTCCTCCTGCTGCTCCTCCTCCTCCTCCTCCTCCTCCTCCTCCTCCTCCTCCTCCTCCTCCTGCACCTGCTCCTGCACCTGCTCCTCCTCCACCTCCCTCCTCCTCCTCCTCCTCCTTCTCCTTCTCCTCCTCTTCCCTCCTCCTCCTCCTCCTCCTCCTCCTCCTCAATCCTCCTCCTCCTCCTCCTCCTCCTCCTCCTCCTCCTCCTCCTCCTCCTCCTCCTCCTCCTCCTCCTCCTTTCTCACTACAAACCTTCTCGGGAATGTCGCGCGGCGCTCGTCGACCGATGGTCTGGGCGGGGTATCGGGCGCCGCGGGGGGTCATTCGGGGGCCATGGGCGGTCGTGGCTCTCAGGACCGCATCGGGATCCCGTTGGGAAACCCTGGGAAGAGTTGCGCAGAATTGGGCGGTTCTCATGAGGGGGCTCGGCCCCTCTCGCGGAGCCGTTCTGAGAGAAGGCAGGGGAAGAGGGTAAGAGGAGAGGCCGGTGTGAAAGGCAGAAGGGGATGGGCGGGGAGGGGCGCGCGGGTGATGTTTAGAGTCCAGGCGCGCAGCGGTGCCCCGTGACGAGCACGCGCGAGCAGCAGATCACAGTTTGGGCCACTGTCAGCAAGCGGGGGAGCGGGGAGAGCGACGGGTCTGGGATCGGAAGCGAGAAGGGGCCGGGGGAGGAGGGATCTGGTTGGAGGGACAGTGCGGGCGCATCAGGAGGGCCACCCCGAAAAGAGCAGCGCAGTGGCTGACACTTGTGCCGGTGAGCCGCGCGGCAATGGCGGCGCAGGAGCACACGGGAGAAGGGCGAACGAACGGGGGGAGGGGAATGGGACATGAGGGAAGCGGAGCAAGGGAGGCCGGAAGCGAGCGCAGTAGGGGAGAATGTGAGGCTGGCGGGATCGAACAGCAGGCCGCACGTGAGCGCAAGGTGTCACGCGCATCCCTTCGCGGCCATGCTGAGGGGCATCGCGCGGGCACCAACTCGTGGCAGCCACGCCCGGTGCCAGCGTGCACAGCGCCGCGGTTGTCAGCTCCGCGCTCGGCGCACAGACGCTGTTTGCACGGGCCCGACGCGCTGCCGGCCTTGCGTGTAAGGCGGCGGATTTTGGCGATCGCGGCCTCGGACTTCAGGACGCCAGAGGCAGCGCGAAACCCGGAGCGCTTGCCCCCGCGGCTTCGGCGTTCGCGGGGCTTGCCTGCTGCAGTGCGCCGGGCGCCCCCGCCGAGCTTGCCGCTGGCGCGCTGGATCTTCGGGGAACGTTGGAGCGCGGCGGGCGAC